CCAATGGCTGACTATCTGGAAATAATCAAACAGCTGGCGGCCGATCTTGCAGCTGCCGGTGCTCCTCTGGAACATCCAGATCTAGTTCATGTACACACCCTGGCGGGATTACCAGAGGAGTACAATCTCATTCGTGAAAGGATAAAAAACTCTCCAGTAAGTGGTTGGGATGAGTTGTGCGACTTATTGTTGAAAGAGGACATGCGTCTCTGGATCCACAGCGCTCATTAAGACTTAAACATCCTTCTCCTCCCTCTCCTCCTGAAGAAGAAGAGTACGCAATCGGGATCGATTTGGGAACGACCTACTCCCTCGTAGCCGTGTGGCACAAGGATAATGTAGAAATCATACACAACGATCACGGCAACAGGAAGACTGCATCTTACGTTGCCTTCACTGAAACTGATGAGAATAATTTGGTAGGTGATGCAGCATTTAACCAAGTCGTCAGAAACACAGCCAACTCCATCTTTGGTACGTATCATATGTAGGATTAAGTGATCAATTTTTCATTATAACTGCATGTTTATTCACTCATATTTCTTTATCATAAGTAGTATATTTCATAATCTTCTTCTAAACTATCTAGTAGCTAGATTGTGAATCTAAACTATCCATCAGCTTTGCTTGAACAAATCCAAAGACTGATTTTGATTTTTACAGCCCAGAGCCAGCTAATATGATGAATTGTGGTTTAAGATTTTTTTAGGACATTAAGGGACCGGTTGGTATCCAACTCAAAAATCATGATTTTTTAATATACAAAACACATGAGCTTTTAAATACTGATTTTAAGATCTAAAAACTTATTTGGTATTAAACTCCAAACTATTTTTTTAAGATAAAAAAAATTGAAATTAAAATCAGAAACCCTAATTCCCAAATTGAAATTAACAAAAGAAAAGGGGGAGAGAGAGAGAAAGAGAGAAACGTAAAATTTTACTTTTTTGGTTTTGAATAAGGGTTAAGTGATGATTTGCCCTGAACTTTCGATTTACCCCGTATTCTTTTTTTTTATTTATAGAAAATTAAGGATATGAACCTTTTTTTGTTGCCAATTTTCCCCCTACCATCTAAATTCTCAACATTTCATCCAATTTGCCATTAAATATGAGGGCATATTGGACATTTCATACGTTAAAAATAATAAATATAGAAATAAAAATTAAAAAAATTAAAAATTGAAATAATAATGATATATTCACCCTCTGACAGCCACCAACATCACCATCCTCTCTTCGATCTCTTTCCCCCTCCTTCTCTTCAACATCCACCAACATCACCATCCTCCACCTTCTGTCTCTTCTCCCCCCATGTGCCCACCCCCTCCATCCGGCTTCTCCTTCCCACTCTCTCTTTTCGCGTCTCTCTCTCTCTCCTGTCAAGGTTGCAGAGAGGAAAACAAAATTTAATAAAAAACATCTTGAGATTTTTTGGGTGGCTGTTTAGGATTTTGATCTTGAATTTTTTTTCTTTGGTGGCTGTTTGGCTATTTGGGTTTTTTGGGGAGTAAGGTGAGGTTAATAATAAAGATCTTGAAATTTTTTGGGTTGCTATTTAGGGTTTTGATCTTGAATAATTTTTTTTGGGGTGGCTATTTGGGTTTTCTGGGAGGTGAGGTTGTGGATGTCAAAGAAAGAGGGAGACAGAAGGAGGAGGGGGCGGGTGAAGGGTGGAGGTGCTGATGTCTGTGAGAAGAGAGAAGGGGGAAGAGAGAAGAGAGAGAGGGAGACGCACTTTGTAGAGAATAAAAGGAAGAAAAACAAAAAAGAAGATCAAAACCCTAAAGCCTAAGGGAATAGAGTGATGAGAGAGAGAGAGAGAGAGAGAGAGAGAGAGAGAGAGAGAGAGAGGTGAGAGGAGGTGTGTCAGGGGTGGGGCTGGTTGGCCTTGGGAGAAGCATCGGGCAGAGGAGGAGGGGGAGAAAAAAACAGGGGAGATAAGGTTTTTATTTTGTGTTTTCTTCTTTTTTTCCAAATTTTTTTTATAATGATTTAACACAAAATTGGATGAAATGTTGAGATGTAAGATGGCAGGGGGAAATTGGAGAAAATAAAAAAAATCATATCCTTAATTTTCTATAAAATAAAAAAAAGGATATGAGGTAAATCGAAAGTTATGTACATGTTCAGGGGCAAATCACTAATTAATCCTTTCAATAATGGGGTGCATTTGAGTTTTGTTTTGGATTTGGGATTTTAAAAATGGGCCTACTAAATGGGATTTTTGAGCTTTTTGGACTTAAAATTTGTTTTTGAGTTTATAAATGTGAAGCTCTAGCCATTCAAGGTCATTGAAGGTCATGGGCTTGTCACATGGACTTTCAATGACCTCCATTGAAAGTCCATGTGACAAGCCCATGATTGTGGTTATCGACAATGGCAAAGAGAAATAATGTTTTGCTGAAGATATCTCATTCATGGTTCTAGAGAAGATGTAGAAGGTTGCACCAAAACCGTAGAGTTTAATTTTTAAAAAACAACTGGAATGAAACACGTGTTTCATTAAACATAAAGGAAGGACGATGTCATTTGTAAAAAATAAAAACAGGGTTGTCTTCTTCATTCGCGAACAAGAGCCTTCATAAGCGACACGCCTCTGTAACTCCTCTGCAACACTGCAGGTGCCTCTACTTGTAACTTGCCAAACGAATGGCGGCTTGATGTACTTTCAAGTACGGCACGAGCACAGCCCAACACGATACGCCCCGTATCTTTGGGCCGTGCAGGGATAAGGTAATTAGGCCCAATGGGCCGGGCCAGCTTGTGACCCATTGAGCCTAACGAGCCGGCTCGTTTAAAGCTCATTTATTAAATTACATTTGTTTTAGAGAAAAATAATACATAATAT